CTTCACTGAAACAACAGAACAAGTTCTTAAGTAATTTTCACTTCACAATTATATTATATGATGATATAAGTGAAAAATATGTTATAAGTAGTTGAATTTTTCCAAAAAATTTCAGTTTGGTGGTCTTTTTTTTAATTCAACCATCTGCAGTAATTGCTGTCCCAAGCAGGACAGTAATTGAAAAAAGAGGAAGAACAAGAACACTTAGGAGGATTTCAATTTGTTTTCGATGTTTTAAATAACTACAGCCAATAAAAGGTAAGAACGGTGATTTTGCATTTCTTAAGGTACAATACTCACCTCGCCCGAACACTGTACTCTCCTGATATTTGAATCATCGTATTGAAATTTAAAAACAGTAATAATCGTATATTATGTCCTTGAAAAACATATATATGGGGGAAAAGTAACTGCATTATAGTCTTGTGTTTGGATAAAATGAGCAGGGAATCAAATGACGAATTCCAATTGATTACAGTAGGTATTGAAAATATTTAAAGATACCAGATAAAAATGGACTAATTTGCACGACAATTTTGACACTTTAGGGACTTTTTTTCCCCACATTCTTAAACTTGTTTATTGCTTTTATTTTATTTGATTAATGATTTAAAACTACCTGGTGCATGTTTGCAAAACAGCTTAATAATTAATTCCTCACCTGGCCTCCATGAAACTTAGCAGCTTCGCGTCATTGGTATATTTGAAGTTAGAAAAGTCCAAATTAGGGTTGGAAAATATTTTTGGAATACTGTATATAAAATATATCACTCTGAAGGCATTTTGTTAATTTGGAAACATATGGGTATGATGTCATGCCAGAAAAACAACCTAATTCTGCTTGTTCTTCATCTATTCAGTCGCTCTCAGTCTTCAACTTTAATAACTTGAACTCAGATTAATAAATTTGAAAAAAGCCAAACTACAGGGACTTTACATTTGTCCTTAATTGGCGCCTAGCGATTCGCTGAATTTCACTCAGAGAGATCATGGATCAGAGGCTTAGTGAAGGCAAAAATGTGCAAAACTGTGCCAAAATTTTTAGTCACCGAGGAGCCGCGTTTCCGTCTAGACAAAAACGATGGTAGGTTAAGGTGCACCTTGGAGCTGGAGAACGCTGTATGGACGCCTGCGTTTTACAATAGAAGTCTTTTGTATGTGGAAGCGTAGTGGTTGCAGACGGCAGGCGCTGGTGTCATAAAACTTAGATGATATCACTTTTGATCTCAGTCTCACTTTCCCCTTATACATTCCTTTAGTAAAAGTGAGAGTGAGATCAAAAGTGATCTCATCTAAGTTTAATGGCCCCGGAGCCAGGTGACTTTATTGCATACATTGCCGTCCATTGGCGCTTTTTGACAGTAGTGGTAATATGTGCGGAGATTAATCTTTCCCCTCTTTAGAACAAGAAACAAATGTGCATATTATCATTGACGACAAAATGTGCTGCGAACATTGATAAATTTTGTATCGAAAAATATTGCTTTGAAGAATATTTTCTGGGATCATGTACGTTAGGGGTATTCTCGGTCTTCTTATAAATTGCAACTTGCACATTGAAAATATGGCACTTTAAGGTGACGGCCATTTGATTCTGAAGGCGGAAATGACAAATGACAATGTCAAACCTCTTTATCTCGAACTCAATGGGACCAAGAAAATACTTCGAGATATCCGAGGATTCGAGATAACCCGGGTAAAATACTTAAAGAATAAGTAGTTGGGACTTCCAAATCACTTCGACATTCAATGGTATTCGAGATATCAGTGTTCGAGATGCCAAAGTTGAACTGTAGTTTCATACTAGTAAATGATAGATATTTATTTTCTTCACTGAAAAAAAGTTTAACAAGCAAAAAAAATATAAATAAATAAATAAAATAAAATAAAAAAAGGGAAACTGCCAAACTCTTATAAAACTCTATTTCGTTGGGGAGAGGGGAGGGGGTGCTAGCATGCATTTGGCATGGACAGATTATTTATTTCCTTGCCAGATGACGACTATTTATTTTCGAGGACAGATTACGGTATAACGGGTTAATTTCGCGATGATCCAAATTTTACATTCTTTTCGGGCATTTTTAGATCGCAAAAGAATGCAAAAATTTGCCAAAATTTGCCAACGATTGTGTACCGTATAGACTACAAATCACTGGGACAAACGCAAATATAGGACTAAGCCAATATAAAATAACAATGTTTTGGCATATTTTCGCAAAACTAGTGATACATTGCGCAATAGGAAAAGGTTGTACGTTATTTATTTCCAAAATCAGCCATCCCACACCCACCCTTCTCAGAATCAAATAGTCTTCTCCTAATGCTGTTGTTTCTTTGGAGTTGAAAATGACAATGGTGCGTAAAAAAAGCGACACTGATACGTTGAGGCATTGGTGATAATGGTACGTAAAAAAAAGTATTACTTAAGTTAAGCATGGAATCTAATGAAACTGAATAGGTAATTTTTCAATATTATCATAGAGCAGCGCCTATTACTGAAACCGTAAAGGTGTTAGGTGCGGCAGTATGTGCAGTGAGGTGGGCACTTATTGTCGCTAGCGACGATATGTACAGTATGTATGCCTTTGGACAACAAAACTTGAATCCATATCAAGGAGCGGCGCGAATAGAATATTAAATACTATTCCTCTAGTTTATTATTCTCAAGTATCCTCTCCGTGAATCCGTTGTTATCACAATACGCTTAGTGCCAATCATTCTAGCCTGCTGTAAGATCAAACTTAATGTTAATCTATAGAACAAGTAGTAAAAGTCAAGTTGGCCACTTCAGTCAAAATGTTAAAATCTTTTTATTATGTAATTTCGTTATCATGTGTTTATCAGCGATATGAACGGAATAAAATACAGATTAACCGACTACCCGACCCGACACATCATTGCGTGTTCAAATTTAAGCACATTACTCTATAAATCTATTGACAAGCCACTTTGCTCGACTATTGAGGTTACAAGATTAAAACTTTGGTAACGATCCAAAAGGACTTACATATTCCTACACAGACTGACTGGGTTTGGGTCTTTATTTTGAAACATGCGTACTTTATTTTTTAATTACCGATAGGGGTCCTGTGTTTAGGTTTGTTTCTACAATTTATCACAAAAATTATTTTTGCACACAAACTTTTGCTTCCGTTCTCCTTGCTTGGTATCAATGGCGAGGGTTTCATATGGGCGTAGGGGTCACACCCCTTCCTTTTGTCACCAGAATTTATGTTGTAAAATTTAATCTAAAGAGCATTTTGAGTATTTAATTAACCTTCATTAAGTTCATTTTGAGTATTTAATTAACCTTCATTAAGCCCTTTGTTAAAACAAACTTATATCTTTGAGCATGAATACATTTCATATTCCAGAAAAAATTCCTTAACAATTATACATTACAGCTTTACTTCAAACCTAAAAACAGTGAGATAAAAACATCATTTTGGCATTATAAAATATGATTGTACCATTGTGATAATTTTTGTTCAAAAATGGTGTTTAGAATGCACGATATTTTTTCTTTGAAAAATTCGGGAAATTCCCCGCCCCTTAAGGAGTTGTGTCTTTCGCCCCATCTTTGCATCTCAACTTTTACCTGAAGCTGTGTATTTTAAAAAAGTTCTTCATAGCACAATTGTTAGAAATAACAAGAGACGCTTTGGTAAGCAATGAAATCTCCTCCGGATTGAACAGGACACCGATATACATGTATACACGTACAATCTACATATTTTGCGTCAATAAAATGTGTTTCCTTACTTTACGTTTTTTAATCTTTTCAGAACTAGAAATATAACCTGTTTTTATGCCAGTCAAGCTTCACTTGCACGTGAACCTTGTGTAGCTTGCAATATGGTGAAAAATTGCTGTAGTGTGCATGAGGCTTGGATCCTCCATTTATTCCATATAATTAAAAAATAACAGACCGAAAGACCATAGTTAGTTAGGCATAACATTTTTTCCCAAACATCTTAACAATAAAGTGATGGTCAAAGTATTATGCATGATTCTTCTATGAATCTCGGTAATTTTGCGATCGTTGTAAGGGTACCGCGAAGGGAGGACCAGACACCGGGGATTATAACGTCACCAGATAATCAGTTAATCTGAGACCGAAACAAAGCCAAACAAACGATACGTAGATTGTGATCAACGATCATAATTTAAACCAAACACATCAGCCGAGGATCAGTTAAACTCGGCGTGATGGCAAGAAAACTTGTTTATCTTCACGCCGTCTCTTGCCAATATTTTTTCCAGACCTTTCAGGTATAAAGCAAAATGCACCGATTTAATAGGGATAATCAAATTTTTCCAGACACGTTAAGATCATTTTTAATTTTAATCGCGTTTCAGGCTTTTTGAGTTTTGCAAATTGAAATATGGTTATTATTTACTCAAAATATTAAAAATTTACCTATATAAAACTTATAATCATCTGCACCGTGTGAAGTACTCAATTCGTTCTCACCCAATAGATATAGGTAATTTAAAAGATCAGCACGTATAATGCAGTTTGTACAAAGCTTTTGTATGTCTAAAGTGCATAAATCTATTCTAAACTCATAGAGATATAAAAGAAAGCACTGAAATCTTGGATTTGTCTCCTGCAAAAAAAAAGCGGGGTGGATAAGAGCCTTTCACTCGAAATTATTGCAGCCTTTTTGTGTACGTCATACAAGAACAATTTTACTGCCATGTCATCATCGTTTTCTTCTCTTTTTTTTTCAATAATTACTTTTCAAAACGGGATAAGTGTACATTGGTCGAATTAAATCTGCCTTTTATGAATGCTCTCTCAGGTTTATCTCTAATGGGATTGACTTTTGAGGATATGATTAAGCATACTTAGCAATTGCATGCATATTTAAGACATTTTATAAATTATTACTTTTCGTGTAATTATAAACTGTACGCATGTTTCCTCCTAGTGGGGCATGGTATTTAAACCTCTGGAGTTATTCATATTTTACATGAAAGCTGGAAAGTAAACCAGGTGTAACTAACAATTTAATGCAATAAATACTTCAACATAAATTATGTCATTATTTACAACAATTGATATCTCAGGTGGGACATCCTAAAACAAATAATCAACAGCATCACGATAACAGTTAACATATTCTGTAACTTGAAAACAACAAACAGGTAAAATTAAGTGTTATGCCTGGGATATGGTTACGTTTTATCGAACAAATTATCTCAGTACAATTTAACCCGTTACATACTTAACATACACGCATAACCTGTAACTAGGAATATCCTGCAAGAAACAAGTTACTCAGCATCTCCCACAATACCGTAAATCTATCATAACGTACAAATGGAGAAAACAATTAACTGTAACAAATAACACAGCCAGCATGAATTTGTAAAAAAAATGGTTGGACGGATTAAATGTAATATATGTATCTAGACTGTTGAAAAAGAGTATCACACATTGCTTGATTGGCACTACAAAAGGTATGTGACCACATTCAGGTCATAATATAAGCAAACTCAAACAATGTACAATCATTTGTATACAAGTTACAGGGATGTACTTGACAGAAGCAAAAATCATTTTCTTGCGTCTGACAACTTGACTCCCATCAAATAACTGGCCACCATTACAAATCAATTACTCCAGTGAGCCGATGACACTTCGAAATATCCTATAGAAAACAGAACATAATGAAAAATAAATAAATGTCGGTAACGACGAAGTCATTCTCCTTCAAACGAAAACTTCATGGACTTTCTTTTTGTTAATTTTAGATGGTGGCAGAGTTCCTCCGAATGGAGAAAAGGGTCTTTGATCGGAACCCTCTGGACTTCCCACAGGAGGGCGCCACATTTGTTTGTTGAACTTTTTAACTAGCACTGTCTTTCCAGTACTAACGTCTTTCTGTGGAGTTTGTAGTGGAATTGTGTGTTGTGCGCGCAGTGGTGCTGGTTTCACACTAGAAGTTCTTTTCACTTGAGAAAGATCGTGCAAAGATTTCCGGATATCTTTGTCATCTTTTCGTGAGAAATCTGAAATAAGACATTTGTTCATTTATAGATCCTGTTATATTTTCTTATTTTTCTACTATTTTCAATATATGTACTGACCGACTCTATCTTACAATGGCCATCTTGTTGCGATATATGAATATAATTACTTAGTATAATTTACTTTTTTCAATTTTTTGACAGAAATCCCAATTTATGTATGTTTCTTTTTTTTTTAATTCTATGACAAGACCACAGATTTATTTGAGTAAACTAAATGTGCACAACGTCCAAAATGGCGATCGATAAGAGGGTTATATTTCAGGGTTCATTTATTAATGATGGCAAGGTGAACGTTCTATGATTTGGGTGTGTAAATAATGATATGAGAGAACAACAAATAACAAGCAACTTGGTCAGCTTGCCATGGATTCAATTTAATGACAAACTTACATTAAAGATTATTTTTACACGATGTTAGTTGATTTAGTAAGTTAAGAAAATTTAATCCTTCCCTCAAACATTTTCTCATATTTTTTAAGACTTTGGCGACCTGAATTGGGTCAAGATTGTTTTAATAATATATTTAGAGCATATTATTTACGAAGACAAAAGAGGTGCTATATTGATAATACGAAACCAGCAAACCGTACAGCAATTGACCGAGGTAGCAAGCCAACACTGGGCGTTTAATTCTCAACCGTGCAAGATAAATATTTTGTAAAAGACACACTGTGACTATGTGAGGGGAAAACAAACAGGCCCAAGGAAGACAGGGGTCAAGGGGAAAATCCTCCAACTATTGGCAAGACTTCTTACATAACCCCATAGGCCCTATTTAGTATTCACTTAGATGATCATGTGTTGGTATTAGAGAACAAATATTTGACTGTTAAAATGTTTCAGGTATTTGACTTGGGAGGGATTGGTATTTAGAAATACAAACTTTTAAAATAATTATAAAGATAAATATAGCTTGAGTAAGCCGTTAATGACGAGATTTTAAAAGTTGAAAATGAATTTCTGAAAGTAAAAATCTAGTAGTAATTAATAGTAAGTAGAATGGTACCTGCTGACTGTCTGAGATCTGGAGGAGCTTTCATAGACTGAATTCGTCTCGCTAATATTTTTCTTTTATCGCTGCCTGCCTGTGAATCTTCTAGAGATCCACGTATTACAGGCACAGAAGGCTTAGCAAAATCATTGTCTCCTTCCTTCACAGTTTCGTCAAGTTTTATCAAAGGTGACCCAGCACCCAAACTCGAAGAAGGTTCAATTTCAGTGAAAGATTTAGATTTGTCTAGTGTTCGTTGTGAAAACGACATTTTTGACACAGACGGTTGAATGGAAGCATTAGATTCCACAGAAGGCGTTGGGTTACTTTCTCTCGGTGATAATTTTCCGAGAAAAGGGGTCATCTTTTGTTTAAATGCATCTTGTCTCTTTATAGCTGCCTCATTTCTTGGCGTCCTTTGAGCATTAGGCTTTGTGGAAGAAAGTCGTGGAGACGGAGGCATTTTGGAATGAAGTAATGCCTGGAAACCGTACACCCCCGAACCATCAAAGTTAGTAGGGGTCTTGTTAGATTCTGGCTTAATAAGTGACACTTTTCTTTCTTGCAGGTTTGAATTTTCGTCCCGCTCTTCCCCTACCTCAGATCTTGGCTCAAATTGGAAACTTGAATCAAGATCATCATGAACATCAGCAATACCAGAGTCCACTGTTTTTTGAGAGTATCCCGAGTGAAGGGATTCTCTGTTCTGACTTCCGTCATCTTTCTCACTATTCGACTTTGTCAAGGTCATTTCTCCAGAAAACGAATTATTCCTCATAATTTCTGATTTTATTGCTGACCTATCCTCCAACTGAAAAGACACACTTCTCTTTATTTCATTGGGAGATTTAGAACCTAAGAAAAGTTCCGCATTTCTTGATTTGTGGTCTCCAGACACTTTATATTTTTCATCGTTTTTTGAAGCCCACGTGTTAGTTTCATCCGTTTTAATCGAGCCCGATGTGATGTGAGTGCCAGAATCGGGATCGGAATCGGAATCACTAAGAGCGTGAATATGCAGATCCCGTATCGTAGCGTATAAATCCGTCATGGAGTATTTTTCCGACAATTTAAAAAATTCCCTTAAAATTTCACATTGCATGCAGTGTGCGCCAAACTCTGGCACCGGCTCTTGGTCCAGGTCATTACCAGATCTAATTCCATTCTCTTTAAATCCAGCACAACACGTCTGTCCATATCCAGTTAAATATCTTATATTGGAAATCAAATTGAGACCTTCTTGTGTCGCTCTTTGCAATAGCTTAAGTAGCTTTCGTGATTTCAAATCCGCTTTTTCTTTATCAGTTATGGCCAAACTGTGAACTCCGGATATCAACCGTGACAAAAATGCATTACATATGTCACAAGAGAGCGATTTTGACAAAATGGATGGCTCATAATCAGAATTATTGGATTTCCAAAGTCTATGTTCACAGATCGTTGTATCGAGGTTCTGTTGATTAGAGAGGGAATGATAGCTTCGCAGGTTTAAGTTACAATTAACATGTTCGTCGGAATGTTTTGTATTGTTTTGCTGTACATTATCCCATGTATCGATTAAAGTTTCAGTACTTTCAAAAGATATCAATTTCTGTACACTATTATCACAACATGAGCGAAAATCAGTCACATCCTCAGTGCACTGGCGCGATAGTTCTAGCTGTCGTGCTTTTTGCACGGTTGAGTCTCCTTTGAATACAGCACCAACCTCTTTGGAACTTTCCAATTCCCCGCAGAAGTCTAAGGGAATGTACCCTACATTTCCTTCGTAAGTTTTCACAAACACCCAACCTCCAACACTGTAGAGAAGTTGTACTATGTCCCCCTCGGACACGGGAATCTCACTAGATTCTTTCTCGCTTGGAATGAAGGTAAAAAGTACGACAGAAGGGTAGCCAAGTTCTATTGCTGGCACTCTGCCGGACGGATTTAAATCACGTGACTGGTAAGCAGACGACATTTTTAAACCTGTAAATATCGAGATCAATAGTTTTGAATGACGTTTTATTTTACCTATACTTTATGTTAAGAAATTTATCACAACTGGAGGGTGATAAATGAATACACAAACAAATAGCGCACATAACATAATTGATCGTGGCCGCATGCTCTTTGAATGAATACTGATATTCCTTCTGATGAGCACGATCAACTGAAAACGAAACAGATATCCATAAATTGAAAATAAAAGTTGGATGAGTTGCAGATGAATGCTAAAATGAATTTGTCGTTGTAAATCTATTTCAAAAAACGTACTTATGCAATTTTTTTCTCATATATTATTCAGCATCTCAAGGATACAAAATACATGTTAGGGTTCAGAAACACAACCAAATTAATTAAGCATTATTACTAGTATTTCAAATAATCAAATGTAAAATTGTAGAAAATGTTGAAAAATTCCATGCCGTTTAATGAAACTTGCATGCGTGTGTTCAAAGAACTTTATTTAAAACAGACACTACAATAGAATAAAGAGAGTGATAGCTAAAATAGGAGACAGAAATGAACATTGAAAAAACTATGTGCTGTAGGTGTTGTTTAATTATTCTCCTCACGCACCCACCTCTTGGATTCAACACCTCCATTTAACAAGCTGATATTTGATAACTCACAGATAGTATCAAAAGTTTGATTCTTTATCAAAAAGTTGAAGTTTAAGTGCATTATGAAAAACCAACGAAGAAAGAGAGAGAGAGAGAATGAGGTCGAAAAAAGACTACAAATGTAGATAATTTAAGCAAATTGTATTTTGTAAACAGTTAAATAAGAATGTCAAAATTAGCTAAGCTGTAGTTTGGAATCTTAATTTTCACTTAATCCCGAAACGCATTCAAATGACTTTTTTTCTCCTGTCTTCTCTACTTTCATGCTATTGATCTTGTGACTGATAAGTATGCATCACCAACAAATATTCTAACTGGAATATACAATGCCCAGTGAGAATCAATTGTCATACACAACCATCGAATCAGCTAACCGACTATCGGTTTTAATATTTATACATCTCTCAAGCTATACGAAAACTGAAGAACAGTTTGTTAAAATTCGATAAATAATTAAAATATAATTACACTCCCATGTGTAATTTAGAGGATGATGGAAATAAAACTTATGCTTCATTTTTTTTTCTTCTGTTTGCTGCAACCAATCCTAATCTTGACTTTGAAATAAAATACTAATAATTTTTTAAGCTTCCACTGAATTTTAATTTCTGCTATATGAATGGTCTTCTTGATTTTGTTCTTTACCCTTACTCATTCAATATTAAAAACACTATCCAAGAAACTTTATTTCTCACAATGTTTACAAACTTCTACGGTAGACCTACCTTAACTAAACCAGTGTGTATTCCTTAAGAGAATGTAATTTCTTGAAAGAGATTTCTATTTTTCAAATAACAGTAATTGCAGTAATAGAGGTTGTGGTATTGTTCAGAGTGTTACTTACTCGTACACGGTAATTTACTTCATTACGCCAAAATTTTCTTTATTGCTTGGAGAGAATGACCTCTGTGTTACATGTACATGTATTTCTTGTTAAAATTTCAAGTATTCTCCCTATCAATCCTCAGTCCCTAAGCTTTGCTTATGACACAAACTCTCATTCACTTAAGAATAAACCAGAAATCTAATAGTATACTTTTACAAAGATATATATTTTTGCTGTACATTGATGGAGGATTTTCGGATAAACAACGATATTTGATTTGATAGATATTGGTATACCTTGTGTGGTCAACATAAAGAAGATTTACTTTGTTGGTCACAAGTGGACTTGACTGAAACCTTAAAACACCATGTTTCTTCCGAAGTATACGCAAACTGAAAAATTAAGGAGACAATATTTTTTCGCTAGCGTTTAATCTAAACTTTGGGTAAATACTATCCATTTTCAACCTGGTAGGAAAATAAAGACTGAAAAATTAGTCAAAGGCCTATTTTATAATATGCCTTAATATTCACCGATAATTATAGAGTTCGGCTGCTTCTTTCAGCTGTTTTTCACTGTCTCTTTAATTATACCGTTTTCTTTTTTTTTTTTTTTTTATTTATCTTATTAGATATCTAGACAAACGGAGCAAGACGTAAAGAAATTTCCACTCCAATGAAAATTTCCCTTTCAAGCAGATTTAATGACTAGCTCGTAGCTGAAAGAGCCTCTACTCTTTTGATAATATGTTCAATATTATCTTTACAGGGTAAATTGATCACATTTTTTCATTATTATTTATTTTCCTTTGCAAATGACGTTTTTCAGTCAAATACAGAGATGTTCATATCGATGAAGCATGATGACAAGAGACGTGTGTGGTGCTGTCATTAGACATATTTTTCAGAATTTTTTAAAAACCTTCACTTTAAATGGAATTGATTTCACTTATGCTATTTGTATATAAAGGAATTCCTTTTAACGTACTATAAATAACTTTCACAAATAAATAAGCCTCATTCATAACAGATCCTTAAATCATTTTATAAACACCGTGCAAAGAATATTACCTCTTTATATGCTTCAAAAACTTTAAATACATATAACAACTCTACTGAGGGAAAAATTATGTTCTTTAAGAAATGCTAGCGGTGTGATTTTTAGTAATAGTTCGATTTACCATTATATATAAATGTCACAAAAATTATTCAGATAATTAAAAAAAAAACTATGTTTATAACTTCTTTATCCAGAAGATGGAGAAGAAGCGTAATATTAATCTTTAAATTTTCTCTCAATAGAATTTTAAATTCACTGAATCTTTTGGATATGACAGTGAATTAAGGACATTTTTGCAGTTCTTTAAAGCATTTTACAATGTATATATATCTACAACATATGTGCCTTGTTTACATACCTACCTATTTATACAAACATTGACTCATTTCAGTTACGCCCTGTCATATACAACCTCTTGTATGTTTATATATGCATAAGTAACGAAGTTCAATGTCAGGTGCTTAAAAATTCAAGATGGTTGTCGCAAATACCATCATTCCGTTTACAGACCAACAAAAGAAGAGATTTGAGCTGGAGGTTATTACACCCTTTTAAACTCCTTGAAAAAGCAACCTTCTTGTCATTCATTAAATTCATTTAACTTCCACCTAATTTACAATATTTTAAAAGGCTCCAAAGTCAAACTTTGCTACAAGTAGATACAAATTAAGTCTTGCATATAATGAAGGAAACAGCATATGGAATTGTTGGCTGGGAAAGAGTATAATGCCTGACCCGATTTATTATAATTATTAAAAGTCTATTTTTCATTGTCCTGAAAAGTATAAGAAAAAAAATAGCATTGTGACTGTCTTGTTAAGGTAATGAAGTAGAGAATGAAAGTATGTTAAAGTTGTATTTTAAATAGCCTGATTACAGGTTTCTTGTACTTTAGATTTCGATTTGCTCTTTCTATTTGCTTTCTTATATTTCATCTTCACTAAACCTCATTTAGAAAGTGGATTCTTGTAATTCCCTGTGAAGTTTCATGGTCTAATTCTAAACTTTGGTACATTTGTATCTGCTTAAGGCTATTTAGTCACTATTTTTATCAGGCAGAGGTTTTAGTGACTGCATGGACCAATTAATGCAAAGTCAAAGTAAAATATTGTTGTAAAAATAACTTAGTCAGGATCAAACCTTGGGTCATGGGTAACAACATAGTGATACTCACGTTTGAACCCACTCTATGTCACTACAGTTATAACGCGGAAAAGATTTTCATGACAGACAAACAGCTACACAGATAAAGACACCAGATTTGATTTTCTTTCTCTCCCCGTTGGAATGGAGGATCATACAGTATCAGTGGATGCAGCAATCACCATTCAGACTCAAAGTAATTCAGATGTGGTGTGTGTTTGCATTGTATTTGTGGCCCAGTCATATAAATTGCTACTGTATACAGGGAAATTTTCGCCCCCGTTTTATTTTCGCCCCTTTTGCCCTACTCACAGGTGAGCGAATTTAAAACGGGGCAAATTCAAAAAACACAATACAATTTCTTTGACAGAACTGTGATTGGGCGAATTTAAAACGGGGCAAAATTATTTGCTATTGTGAAAGGGCGAAAATAACCCTGTATACAGTAGTTCAATTCCTCATTTTTGAAAGGTAGCAAGGTTCCGGTCATTTGAACAATACTTTATTAGCCAGCTGAACTACAAAATTGTAAACATCCTTACTGTTAAAATTGATGGGTATTTTTAACATTAATAGTTAGAAGTAAACTTGCATAATTTCCTATTCAGACGTACGGTTGGTAGAAATAAAACAACGAGATTTTTCACAGCAGAATCAATGCTAGCATGATAATTTCAACAAGACTACTCTCCCCCTGGTATACATCAATGCTTACTGAAACATTGAAATACAATATTTTGTTATGCATTCCTTCACAAATTAAAAGAAAAGTAAGACAAGCAGCAAAACAATTCAATATGAAAGAATATCGAAAATTGGAAACCGGCAATACAACAGTCCTTTTTTCTTGCTATAATGCATGCGCATATACTAGATGGTATCCTATGAATACAAAATTATCTTTACAGTTTTGTGAAAGTAACTACGTCTATACATAAATATAAATCTCAAATAAAACCCCATTTGACTGCAGATATTTTTTAATAAAGTCCTATGTTTAATGTGTGATATGCTTTGTTATGCAATCTAGAGACTTTTTTTAGTAGGAAAACAACTTTATAGTAGAAATTTTCAAGCTAACTCACCATTGTCGAAGGAATTCTACAGGTTGGCTGGGTAGCCAAGTTACGAATCCCAGCGCTTGTAAAGTTTACATAACAAATCATTTTCCAATCTCAAAAAAGCTCAAACATTTTGGGAAGGGGTCAATCAATGGCCCTGGTGCTTAATTGTAGTTCCTGATAAACCAAAGCCAAAAAGATAATTTGTTGATAGTTAGGCCAATTTATGGATCTTTCTACCCATTCAATCACACCATTTCATAGGAGGTACCTCGGCCTCGCACCGCCGCTGACACTACCAGATTATCATACATACCACAAGATTAGACCCAAAACAATGTCCTCGCATGACATTAATTTACATACCGCTCAATATTGTATTGTTAGGATACCTTATCGGTTCGAACGCTTCATGAATTTAGATTGTGTTGTTGGGTATCAGTTATTACCTTATTTTAAATAAACAAGGGGATGTATCTGTTTATAAACTTATTAAAGGAGTCGAATTTTAAATCACTGGGTTCGTTAAACTGTTTTACGCACTCTCTTGTTTCATTTGAAAAGACAAAATACTCAATTTGTCTTCCAATCAATAAGAGTTGAGGGTTTTAAAGCACTTAAATCAACTTGACAAACCACAGCATCCTACACTTATCTTTTATATATTTCAAGCTTAGGTCTTTAGCTGTTTCCTACTTCTTTATCTGTTACCTCAACGAAACCATTAATGAGAAAAATTCATAACAACACAGAAATAAAGGATGAGTAGGTTTCATTACATTGTGAATTTCAAGCCGAAGTGTTTCTTACAGTAAGTAATAACTAGCCCACACCCCTTTTATAATGAAATATCTTGTAGCCAACTCATATTCCTCATCCCTATATAGATCAATCGAACGTCAATTGTATTATATTTATTCACAGAGTAATTATGTCTGCAAGATTCAAGGTAAGTGTTAATCTGCAACTAACTTCTTTGGTTTACCAAAGAATATAACACCGATTTTCTTCAGTAGTCAATGCAGATGAGAAAAATTGTATATCTTTCAAAGTCAGGCACGTAGACCAAGGGGGGGGGGGGGGCAGTTTTCCCTTTTTTTTAATACGTACCTGAAAGTTAAAGAAAACATAACATTACTTACTATAGATTTTGCATGAATAATTTAGCTCGTAGTTATTGCTCTTTTTTATTTAATGACTGGTCTTCATTATCGATACTTCTACACCTAGAAACGAAGCAGATGACATCACATATAATAGAAGGAGTAAGTAAGGATATGCTTACGCATGAGAAGTAAAGGGGAAGATACTTCTGAATTAAACGGAAACCCCTGTGGTGTACAACCAAAGGTTCCTCAGGTGAATTTATAGAAAGTTAAGAATCCTCTATACACTGCACACTAAAGTTTTAATTCCATGGTATTTTTTTGCAGTTCTGCCCTTGGAAATTGAAATCTAAAGTTTATTATTCAATTTGTAATCAATTCAAACATTTTAAACATTTCATTTGGCCTAGCTGAATAAATTGAACGCTTTATTTGCATGCATTTTTGCCATTTAAGTAAGCAACAGTGATTTGAGTTCACCACCTCTTCATTGTCTTTGAATATTTTTCCTGGGGATAAATGGCAGGTACCCTATGTTAAAAATTAAATAGACAATCTCCATATTTATATCTTTATATGAAATAATTTTCTCAGAGCCTTAAAAATATGTTTCATTGGTGTATAAAAGGTCCTTAGCATGAAAAATTTCATGTGAATTTCATCCAAGTGTTCTTTTTACGTGAATTCACGTAGAAGAATGTTCAATTTTCATTTTTAAGTAAAAATAAGTTTCTTTTTTGTGTGTTCTGCACATTGAAATTCATTAAAATTCATTTCTACAACCCCTGTCACATTAAAAATACCGTATTCCAAATGGTTAAGACGGCAAATAATTGCATTTGAAATGCAAGTTCGGGGTTTATTTAAAAAAAAAGTAATGTAAACAAACAAAAAGAAAAGTAATATTAAAATCTAATCTCTGTCAAAAACAATTCATGGGGGAGGGGGCAGTTATGTATACAAATTAGAAAATTACAGGAGAAATGCTACATGTAGCACATATGCAAATCATAAGCAACGAATAACATGTAATCTGTATCGACGCAAAATTTTAAAAAGTCTCCTTTCCGTAATGTTGACTTTTATTCGCACATATGAATGTTACGGGTCATATGCAATGATAAATGTACTAAGTTATCCAGAGAGAGAGAGAGAGAGAGAGCATTAAAACACTTAAAAACTTTTGCTGGATAAAAGAATAGCTTTTTATTTAGCTACATAACTAGCTTTCTGGGGAAAATATTCGGATAGATATACCAGAGAGCTACAGATCTATACATATAAGTTGGAGGGGGAAAAAACCTTCGATTTATGACAACACTTTTAACCTCTACCAAATTTTGATTTTTTTTTTTATCTTTTATTGTAATATACAATAAAATCTGACTTTGGTAGAGGACACTTTTTGTCGCATTTTCTGGTATTATGTCTGGCATTATGCGCATTTCCCCGCCGGAAGCATGTATCCATTAATTAATAAATTTTACTTCTACTCTTTTTACTTCTTTAACTATCAACTTTAACCCCAAGTGGGTTCTAAAAGTCTATAACGTTTCTGAAACGTCTACCGACAGATTTTTTTTTTATGTTATCCTGGTCCTTCTGTTACCATATCTTCTTCCTCAAACCCCTTTTAAATTCAACGTAGTAGCCAAATCATATTTTGAAATATGATATCCTGCAGATGTGCAGTAATGTCTGGGGGGTTCGTTTTCAACCTTGAAGCAATTGAGGGTTGAAAAAGGATGTTTTTCTTTTTAAAAAAAAAACGGTTTTCCATAACTCCTCTTTAATTTTCCGCATTAGCCACATTATATTTAGAATATGATTGATGGTCTCCTTTAGATGTATAATATCATTTCAGAATTTTCTTCTTTTTTACTACAAACAGCGGGTCCCCAGAACACCTCTCATAATTTTTTAGTTTAGCAATATAATCCATGGAATATTATTGGTGGTAATGGATGGGTTGCAGTTGGAGATCGATAAAGATTTATCTACAAAAACTTGGTTCCCAGAACTTTTGAATATGACAGGTGGTGTTCTGTAGATGTGCAATAAAGTTTCGAAATTTTGATTTTAATCCTACTGGCCAACTACAGTTCGAAAATCGACTTTTCTACAGTCAGCTGGTTCCCATAACTCTTTTCACAAAATTCCATTTTTTTGACAATATCATCTTTAGGAGTATTATTGATGGTGTCTTGAAATGTGCAAGATTGTGTTTGCTGACAAGGTCAATTTTCGTCCGAGGGTCAGTTTGAGAAGACATAAATACACAATCTCTATCAAGAGTTATCGTTCCCGCTACGCTCCACTTATAAATACGTATTGTACCGAAGCGTAATACGCCCTCTGGTGAGAGATTGATAAATAGAGTGTTATTTATCTGAAAACAAAATTACCAGCAGTTTCCAAAGAAAGTGTCTTTATATAATATTTATGTTATCCTGGTCTGTCTGTCACACTATCTTCTTCCTCAAACCCCTAATTTACATTTAACGCAGTAGTCAAATCGTTTATATCACCAGAACTTCCTATATATTTTACGTAGTGGCCCAATCATCTTTAGGAATATGATTGTTGGTGTTCTGTACACATCAGGCTTCGGTAAATCTATAGGACACCACCAGTCATATTCCAAAAGATGATTTGGCTACTGCGTAAAATGCCAGAAGAGTTCCACCAGCCTTTTTCAATCGCGCTCAACTGGCTCCAGAATGTAAATTAAAATGAAATGAAAATTCAGAATCTTTTTGCACATCTGCAAGACATCGCCAATCATATTACACAAGATGGTTTACGCTGCCTAAAATGTTAGAGGATTCTGGGAAACAGATTTGTTGTTGCTGTTGTTGATTAGAAAAACGATGCTTTCCAATCCCATATTCGCCCCAAGTATATGAAAATGAAAACTCCGAAGCCATATTGCACATCTACAGGACACCACCAATCATATCTTCTATAGAAGATGATTTGGCTAGTGTTTAAAATATGGAGTTTGAGAAAGAAGAAGGTGTGATTGTGATAGACCGGGGGGGCGAACCTGGATAACAACAGTATATCCCATTTCTTTAGGAAGTGCGGAATGATTAACAGATAATATGCTCAAAGCGGGGGAATGCAAATAAGACTAGAAATGGTACCCGAAAGTTGCAGCAAAAAGTATTACCGTAAATCAAAAATTTTTACAAAAGTGGACCTGTAGCTCTCTGGTATGTCTATCCGAAATAGCTACAGTTCTATGTCAAACGTGTGCAGACCAAAACAAAAAGAAAGATAACTCTTGTGAACCTGACACGGTATTTGATTCTGTTTTCGCTTGAAGTTCTCAATAAAAATCGTTTACATTTTCCACTGTGATTTTCATAACATTAAGAGGGGAACACTCTCACATACATGTGCGAAATCCCCAAAAACATACCCCGAAAATATTCAATGCTGACATACTTATAAAATATAATGTCATTCAATGGGAAAAATACTGAACATTGAAGAATATTTCGTTGAGAAAACAAAAATGTTAAGTTTTTTTAACAAGATATTGTTGACCCAATTATTTACTAATTGGCTGTATGCATTTACATCCGTTGATTAATTGCACTTTTTTAATTTTCGATTTGCAAGGGCGGAACAAACACTAACCTATTTTGCAACTTTGTGGTTTAATTGGGAAAACAATCAAAATTAATTTCTATGTAAACATCCTTAGTTTAAGTAGCACGAAAATTTACATCCAAGTCTAGTAAGATAATTACAATATTAATAAGGTCAGTATATGAAGATACAAGATACTCGTGGTTTACAACACTCACCTGAATTTCTCAACTGTTACAGAAAAAAATATTTTTTTAATGGCACAAAGCCAACTGGGGTCATGATTTCAACATTTTTATAGCAAAAAATTATATAGACAGATTTGCAAATCAATATTTGATAGTTAATAGTGTTCCTCTTTGTAAGAGTTATTTTTATGTTCTAAATTTCCCCTTTTGGTTCCAAACTGTACACGTGTCCCTCCCTCTTTGCCAGGATTTGAAAAAAGGTTATCTACAAGGATCTTGGAAGATTAATTAACTAAAGTTTAATGTTTTGCAAAATTTATACTCTTGTATTGAATCTTAACATTTGAGTTTTCTTGCAAATTAATTTAGTCTACGGTCTTGATTTTATTTTTAATTAGGAACATTCTTACGTATTCCTATATATAAAAAGTTTTAAAATGTGTCATATTTGATCCCAAGCTTTTGAGAATGAGGGTTTTGAACGCACCTTCAAATTTGTCACTAAAATCACCATTTTCAGTTTTATCTCCACTTCATTTTTGAAAATTTGACTTAATTTTAACTGATGAATGATGTGCTATATTTTGGTTGATCTCTGTCCCTGGTAATATAAAAAAGTACATTTATTATATTTTAATCTATGAAAGACGCTTAGCTAACTTTCAACAATTAAATAACGTATGAGCCGTTGACTCAGGCAAGCGTAAAAGGAAAT